ATTTCCTTAATGTAGTTGCGCTTTTAGATTTGTAGTTGCAGTTTGCACTTCAGGGCCACCGTACATTTCTCTCCAGGATGGTGTCACAGTCAAACAGGAACAGACGAGGCAAAGCTACTATGAGACAAAGCAGAGAGAACAGAACATTCTGGGCTTTAATTTCACTTCATCCAGATATAAGAAGCTTAAATTATGTTTGCTAAGGAAAGGTTTGCCCAAGAATCACCACTGGTTGAATAAATATTTTAACATTATATTGCCTTTAAGGTAAAAAGGAAGAGGTGTGGGTGATAGATGATCTCATCATTGACGGGAGCTCCATACACAAACCACCGATGGTAATCGACACTTTTGAGGAAGGCCCCAATGAGGAGAACTGGCTTTTCTACCCTGGTGGAAACACTGGCCTCTACTGCCCCTACCAGAAGTCCGGCCTGTGAGAAAAACTCAACTCAGTCTTAGAAATTACCTTCTTCTTGATGGGTTCTTTTGTCACACAAACTATTTGGTGGTAAAACCCATAGAAACCCAGTTTGTGCTTTGACCTTAGTGTTTGTGTGAATAATGCAGGGAAGAGGATGAGTCAGCCATGGTGTTCATCTCCAGTGAGCTTGGAGAACACTCTATCACCACCAGGGACATTGACGTCAATGAGAACACCATCATCCAGTTTGAGGTACACAGACTTCTATGAAACGATCCCAACTAAAGAAGAATTCCTTTTGATCTCAGCTTCATCTTTTGCACATTTGATTTTCTATAGATCAACGTAGGCTGTACAACTGAGAGCTCCTCGGTGCACCCAGTACGCTTGGAGTTTTCCAGGGACTTTGGAGCTACTTGGCACCTTTTGGTGCCGCTGTGCGCTGGCGGTCCTCAGCCCTCCTCCCTTTGCTCTACAGAACTTCATCCTGCCAGCGTATATTTCCCCGGGACTACACATGGCTGGAGGAGAGAGTTAATCCATGTTGGCAAGTTTCGCCTGTGTGGGTAAGGGCAGCAATGACAAAAACCCTCATTTAGTCATTAAAATACATTCATGCTGATTTTGCACAGTTTCTATTTTAATCAGTTAAAGAACATGCTGCTGACATTTTACACATATCTGATGTTGGTGCTATTTTCAGGCATCCATTACTGTAAAAATGTCCATAATAATAAATATATTGTTAATTAAAACACTTTACTTTACAGTATTTTATTGTTTATCTTGTAACACTTCACTATTATGTATCCTTATACATTTTTCTAAGGTCCATATTTGTGTGACCACTTCTTCTTTAATCTTTTACTGCTGTAAACACCAGAATTTCCACATTGTGGGACAATAAAGGGATTTTCTATTCTATTCTATTCTAAAATCCTTACATTGTTGATTTCATAAATTGTACATTTGTGTCCTTGAAACACAGGTCAATAAGGTTCCGCTGGTTTCAAGGTTTCTTCTCAGCTGGTTCTGCTCCTCCAACATGGGCACTAGATAACGTGTACATAGGCCCACAGTGTCAGGACATGTGTAATGGTCATGGGGCATGTGTGAGCGGCACTCATTGCGTCTGTGACCCTGGTTTCTCTGGACCGGACTGCTCTCTGCCCGATACCCCCAATCCAGACTTCCTTAAGGAGGACTTTGAAGGTACGAAAGAATCAAGTTGTTTGTTGCAATTATCTTAAAAGGTGATGTACTGTAAAACTTACCCTTTGCAAAAATAAATTTAGTGATATTAAGTAAGAAAAAAGTGAAGTTTTAAGTTTGGAAAACAGTGCATGCGACATTAAATAACACGTTTTTGAACTGAATTGAGTGTATAGTAGAGAAGGCTTTATAAATGTATGTATTGTCGTAACCGTTTATCCAGCTGGACTTTGTTTCCAAGTTCGAAGACATTTCGCTTCCCATCCAGGGAGCTTTTTCAATTCAGGAAGAGCGTTGAGTATGAGGTTTAATACAGTAGCCCAATACAGGCTTGTTTTTGTTTAGAAAACATCCAAATTTGAACGGAAGAACGGGTCCACCCCTTATGGAATGGGGGTCGTTTGGCTACTTTTATTAGCCTCGTGAGACCATCCTGATCTCGCAAGCTTTCAAAATTTCACTCGC